AGGGGTTAGCGGGTAGTTGGGGGTGTCTGGCTATGGAGACCCGGAGTGGGCGCCTCCCCCAAGGGGCTCGTCGAGGCCAGCGCAGCACCCCGGCAGGCGTCGGGCTGGACTGTGTACCTGGGGGTGGCCCGCCATACTTCCTCTGCCCGTTCACTTGCACCAGGCGGATACCCGTCTCCCTGACCCACGCCTCCAGCGCCGCCTTGTTCTCTGGATTCACCCTCTCACACCACAGCTGCTGGGGAAGGGGCAGGTCGGAATGGCGGATGGCCGCGCCCGCCCCCACCTCGCCTGCGGTGCTGGGGCCCCAGGGCCCCCACTCCCTGTGCAGGTGGTGCTCGTTCGCCCCTCGTTGGCAAACGCTTACCTCGTACTCCCGCTTGGGCTGCATGGCTCTGGCGTTGGTCTGGCGTCGGTCCCTTTTATAACCTCCTCCTTATCGGCCTCTGGAAGCTTCCCTACCCCTCCACCTCCCAAGCTCGCATTGGCTCTGAGCACGACCCCGCCTCCCACGGGGGGTGGGAGTATCCGCCGCACGTGCGCCGCGACCCTCAGGTGAAAGCTAGGAACCCTAGTGGTTGAGTTTGTAGGCAGACTCGGCTCCTGAGAAATGGCTGGCACCACGGAGGGAAGAAGGACGCAGGGGGCACCCTTCACCCCGGCCAAGAGCCTGCTGTCAGTCTTTCTCCCCATTTCCCACCGCTAAAGCGGCCAGACTCTGACAGGGCAGGAAGGGGCTAGGGCTAGGCCATAGCGACACAGACGGTCTCCAGTGGTTGAGATATTTTATTGCACCTTTGGTGACGGGTGGTGGGGAGCAGTGCCTCCTCCTGGTGGAGGCCCTGCAGAGGGGGCCATCTCAGGCCCGGTCCTTGTAGCCTAGGGGCCAGACTGGATTGAGCCCCAGGGCTTCCTATGGAAAATGGCACAGTAAAATTACCTGTGATTATCAATAAAATGATAATAAAAATAAAAAGTCTCTGTTTTGACTACTCTTCAGGTTTCCCACTGGAAGTGTGCAAAGAGGTTGAAATATATATGCAGAGTTTTGTCTTGGCCTTAAATAGTGCCCGTCCACTTTCCTCTGATAGTTCGCTCAATTCAGCAGATGCAAAGGGGCGGGCTTGTTCTCCTTTTGATTTCCTTCACAAGGTCTTCTCTTCGGACATCCACCTGGCCAGGATGGGGAAGAAAGTGATATGAGCAGCTTCCACTCCACTGCCCCCTGAGTGCCCACTCCTCCCTCTGGTCATCAGGTTTGGCTCAGCTGAGAGCAGGAACCCAGAACATTCAGGGTGGACAGTGCTTCTTGGGGAAGCCAGAGACACAGGGTGTTTGTGGGCATGGAGTCTTACCCTACCAGGATCCTAATAACAGGCCCTTACATCCTTTACAAGTGTGTACTTGTAAGGACACCAGGCTTTTGCAGGCTCTTGAATGGGCATTGGCCTGCTGAAATGGCATACATTCCCTGTCCCTCAGCCTTCCTGCCCACCTACTTACCTCTTCTCTGCTGGCCACTGAACGGAGCTTGATGACCCCGTCCTTGAGCTCCTGCTCACCGACGATGGCCACCAGTGGGATGCCTGCCTCCTCACAGTACTGCAGCTGGTTCAGTAACTTTGGGTTTTTCTTGTAAAGCAGCTCAGCCTGCAGGGGACCCGGGCAGAAGATGAAGGCTGACTTCTGCATTCCCCAGGATCAACCTCCTGGGGCCCAACCTGTCACCTAGCTCTGAGTTCCGCCCCAAGAAATCGCAGGGTAGCAGGGTGAGCTTGTGTTTAGCCTGTGCCCAGCATTCCCGTTTGCTGCCACCCGGGGGCTTGCCTCCTGTACCTTGATCCCAGCATCCCATAGCTCTGAGACGAGCTTCAGTCTCTCCTCCAGCAGCTTCTTCTGTGCGGATGCCACAAGCACCTGTGTCTCTGTAGTCCGTACCTTCTCCTCCAATGCCTGGGGAAGGTGCAGATAAAAGTCAGAGAGCTGGGCTACCCTTCGTAACACCGTCAAAGAGCAAAGAGAGCAGGCCCTTGTCAGGATCCCGAGACCAAGCCCAACTCAGCCAGCTCCATCAGGGCAGGGGCCCAGTCTTCTCATCCAGCAACTGGGCATAAGGTAGCTCTTAGATGATATAAGAAGTAAATTGGCCCTAGCCGGTTTGGTTCAGTGGATAGAGTGTTGGCCTGTGGACTGAAGGGTCCCAGGTTCGATTCCGGTCAAGGGCATGTACCTTGGTTGCGGGCACATCCCCAGTAGGGGGTGTGCAGGAAGCAACTGATCGATGTTTCTCTCTCATCGATGTTTCTAAATCTCTATCCCTCTCCCTTCCTCTCTGTAAAAAATCAATAAAATATATTTAAAAAAAAGGAAAAAGAAGTAAATTGACTGGGCCCAGCCAGTGTGGCTCAGTGGTTGAGTGTTGACCTATGAACCAGGGGGTCACAGTTCAATTCCCAGTCAGGGCACATGCCTGGGTTTCGAGCAGGAGGCAGCCAATCAATGATTTTCTCTCTGATATTTCTATCTCTCCCTCCCTCTCCCTTTCTCTCTGACATAAATAAAAATATATTAAAGAAAAAAATAAAGTGACTAGCTTGTACATCTGACGTGCCAGAATAAATTACCTAGGGCGAGGGCAAAGGTAGCTTATTTATAGAAACTTCTAGCTTATTTCCATCTACCTTAAGGGCCCACAAGAACAGTAACACAGAAGTGATACTGTGAGCCCATCAGGCAATCCAATCAGCCCTAGCAGTTCTAGTTCCCACTTACTATCTGCCAGTTGAGAGGGTACAGCTCATCGGGTACAACCCAAGGTGTGTGTGGATAGGGGGAAGGGAGGATGGTGCTGCCGCCCCTTGTCTTTTTCTGGAAAACTATTTTCATAGTTCCTACAACATAAGATGCCTGTTGGAACAGTGACCTTAACTGGGAAACATGGGTGGTTTCCACCTAGAGAAAAGGATGGAGCAGTGGGAAGGTTACTGCCAGAGCTTTCTCCAGGGGATGAAATGCAACCAGCCAGTTAAGAGCAGCAGCAACAAAGGTGCACTTGAGGCCATGAGGGGTTTCCCTGGTGGAACTCCTGGTGTTAGAGTCAGGACAGCCATCTTAGGATCTCAGGGCCTCAGACACACACTGCCCCCTCAGAGACTATCACAGCATGGTTAGGAGCAAGACTTTACAGTTAGACTGCCTGGATTCAAATGGACTCTGTCACTTAAAAGATTCATGACTTTGGGGTATTTAATCGAAAATCTTTAGTTCTCTAAAGACAGTAAAAGTAGCTACTTTCAGAAGGCTGTTGTAAAAATTTTACCACCTAGATTCCTCACAGCTCTGAGGGAAGAAGGGACCCAGAACAAGATATTTTGTGACAAAAGAATAATAAAAAATCCATAAAGCTGCCCTATAATGGGGTGGAAGTCTATGTAGTAGTGTTCATCTTTTCTCCATTTCTTTGCAAAGATGCTCCTTGCCCGAAGTGACCCCCCGGGGGATCAAAGAAGATAGCCCAGTTGCCACTGCCTGCCCAGATTGTCTTCTACTCACCTCTAGCCTCTGCTCCACGATGGAAAAGATCCGCTCCACACCAATGCTGAGCCCCACGCATGGCACCTTGCGCCCTTTGGGGTCAAACATGCCCACCAGCCCATCATAGCGCCCTCCAGCAGCCACACTGCCCACACCCAGGGGCTCTTCCCCCGCCTGGGCTGCGGTCTGTAGTAGCACCGCCTCATAGATCACTCCAGTATAGTAGTCCAGCCCTCGAGCAAGGCTCAGGTCGAAGGAGATCTGTGGGGACAAGAACATGTCAGTACCAGATGAGGATCAAGGACCTGAAGCCCCAGAGCACAGCGAGGGCTCCCATCCCCAACCTGACTCACCTTGTCAGCAATGCCAAACAGGGTCAAGTACTCAAACAGCAGCTTCAGGTCTCCCAGGCCCTCCAAGGCCTGCTTGTTTTGAGACAGTTTAGGATCCTGGAGCAGCTGTTCCACCAGGGATACCCCACCTGGGGAGACAGATTTGCAAGCAAGAATGATTGATCAGAAGAAAAAAGTAGGGGCTGTATCTTTTTGCCCGGATTGTACATGTATGTGCGCTCCCCCCACTCCCCGCCCACTTCCCACTTCTCTGTCTCTCCCATTCTCTCTGTCTCTCTCTCCTACATATACACACACGGAGAGAAGAGTTTCAGCTTTAGGATTTAGGGCAGTGGGATGGCTGATGGGGAGGCAGGGTTCATTCCTCACCATGCTGCTGGACATAGTCCCCAATGCGGTCAGCCACCTCGGGTGCGAGGCCCTTCTCTCCCACCATCTCGTTCTTTACTTCCTCCCAGGGCACCTGGGCAGACAGAGAGCAGTCAGGGACCCTTGGGCACCTTGACCACACAGAACAAGTATGGGCCCTCCTCAGGGGCAGTCTTGGAGCAGAAGCTGCCCTTCAACCTACATCCTAAGGCTAATTTTTCCCTGGTGGGCACAGAGGCAGCCTCCCCCCCCTCCCACCCCCCCCTTACTGTTGTTTTCCATTTGGCAAGGCAGGGTGGGATCTGGGAATAAAGGAGTCAGATGTTTGGGTCATTACCTTGTCCAGCTTGTCCACTGATGAGCAGATGGTACGGAACTTGCTATCAGGAACCCCACAGATCGCAAACATCCCATCTAGGATGCGCCGATCATTCACCTGCAGGGACCCAAGGCATCTCTTTACATGACCCTCCATAGCTTTGGTCACTTAGGCTACTGGTCCCTCCGCACAAAGACCTTCTCCTGTGAGAGGCCAGGCCCAACTTTGCCCTCCCAGCCTTGTTCAGCTCTGACCTTGACCAGGAAGTCACCTATCTGAAGTGAATTCAGGATCTCACACATGATCTTCAGGCACTCTGCATCAGGGATCATGGGGTCAAATTGCCCAGCAATGTCGAAATCCTGCAGGGAGAGAGGCAGAAGTCCTCGGGGGTTTCTTCAGAGGGGATTCTGGGGAGCTCTGCTCTTGCTCTCTCTGAAAGGCCAGTTTGCACTTAGGCATAGACCACTTTTTTTTCATTCTCTGATCATTAGCCCAGAGGAAAATCCCAGCATTCTTGGGTCTCTCACTAGTTCTGGTTTCCTTTCCATGTATTGGACTAGTATTCCTTCATCATCTCATTCATCTACTTTTGCTATTTCCTCCTACCACTGGAGGGCAACTATACAGCCTTAGTCCTAGTCATTTTCTCTATTCAGAAGCTCTGCCCACCAGTCTGGATTATTTCATACCTCAAATCCAATTTCTTCATCCTTTACTCGGATCCTATCACTGTGGTTTAATATGAAGAGCGCTGGACCAAGAGTTCTAGTGCTGACTTTGCCTTTCCTATCCCTATGATCTCTTCATTCTGCTGAGAATCAAATTTACCCATATATAAAATGGGGAGAATAACCTCTCTTCTCCCCTCCCCTTTGTGAAATCTATAGGAAAATACCAAAGAAATCTAAGGGTTAGCATTATCTGGGGCACCCTGTTTGCTCAGGACACCATGAGTGCTCAGTAGATTCCACTGGCTTGAGGGAGGGCCAAGTTAGCCACATACTCACACACTGGTAGAATTCCCGATACCGGCCACGGGTCATGGCTGGGTTATCCCGCCGATATACTTTTGCTATGTGGTAGCGTTTAATGTTGGTCAGTTTATTCATTGCCAAATATCGAGCAAAAGGGACCTGATAACAAGAGTTAAGGAGAAAGCCCCTCCTAGCACAGTCTGGAAGTTGATTATCATCACCAACAGAAGCAAGCCCCTCCCTGCGCAGGTAAAGCCAACACCCGTAAGATTAATAGCATTTCTGAACATTAAAAAAGAAACAACAACAACTTTGTGAACATAAGGGACAGCTGACGTCTCAAAAAAGATTAAGGCCAAAAAAAAAAAAAAGATTAAGGCTCCTTTCACTTTGGTAGTGTTTCCACCATGGGCTATGCTGAGCACAGCAGGGGCTGGGTACGTGGGTCAGGGAGCAGAAAAAGGGCCCCCGCGTGGGATCTCTGGGCAGATGACTTTCTGGCCTAGCTTGGAGATAAAGGAAATGCTACTGGTCAGTTAAGAACTTTGTCCACTGGACAGGGAAGGGGAGAGGTATTCTGGAACCAAGGCATTGCTGGTAGAGTTAAAACTGGGCCCTGACATAAAGCTGAGGTCTCACTCAGATTTCAGAAAACTTCTAAGGCTATGCTCTGTTTAGCCAAAGTCCTGCTCCTGGTTTAGAGAAATAATCCCCCTGATTGCCAAAGGCGTCATATTTGATCCCACTCATGTCTGGCTGTCCCCAAACCTGAGCTAGAAATAGCCCCAGCCCAGTGAAGGCCAATCAACCCAAAGTGTCAAGAGCCCACATTTAGAAAGATACAGTGAGGTCATAGCGAAGGGACAGCAGCTCCCCACCCTGGTCTTTCAGGTCATAGATAAGCTTAGAGTCTTCCCCATACTTTCCAGTAAGTGTTTCCTGAAGAAAACATAAAGAAATGTGGTCACAATGATAAGTACAATTTAAAAGAAGTTTTGAAAACAAAAATTCATTTGTCTATATTTCCTCTGCCCTCTATCCCAATGGCTTATGTATTTAATTTAGTTATAATCAAAAGGAGCCCTAGCCAGTTTGGCTCAGTGGATAGAGCGTCAGCCTGCAGACTGAAGGGTCCCGGGTTCGATTCCGGGTCAAGGGCACGTACCTCGATTGCAGGGCACCTGGTCCAGGCTCGTGCAGGAGGCAACCAATTGATGTGTTTCTCTCACATCGATATCTCTCTCTGTCTTTCCCACTCTCTCTAAAAATCAATGGAAAAATATCCTTGGGTGAGGATTAAGAAAAAAAGGAAACACCGATTTTGTCTTCTGCTTATCACTATTTCCATTTTGTGACAGCTGAAATTTTATTTTTAAAAGCTGCATCATATTTCAGTGAGAAGCAGCTCTGTATTCCTTCCTAGGATTACACTGTTAGGTGTTTAGGTTATTCCAATTCTTTAATAAGTTCTATAACATTTAAATAAATATATTTGGGAAAACATATTTTTTTTCTGAGGGTAAACTAGGGGTGGGTTATTAGATCAACAATCATAAATGTTTTTATGACACCTGAGATTTCAACAATGTCAAAAGCAGTCCTTGCCCAGTAATATGTTCAATAACTTATTTCACCTTCTAGTTGCCAAAGTTTAAAAAGCTTGAAAAGTCCGTGTTGTAGAAGCAGAAAAACTCACACATTGGTTGGTCTTATAGGCTGAACTGTGTCCTCCACAAAATTCATATTTTAAAGTCCTATCCCCTAGTAACCTCAGAATGTGACTGTATTTGGAGACAGGGTCTTTAAAGAGATAATTAAGCTAAAATGAAGTCATTAGGGTGGGCCCTAATTCAATACAGTGGGGCCTTGACTTACGAGTTTAATTCGTTTCGAGACCGAGCTCGTTAAGGAGCTCGTTAACTCAAATTACTCTATCAACTCAATGCAAAAAATCTGCTGAGAGACAGCTGGTATCTCGAAAAACTCGTTAGTCCGGACACTCGTAAGTCAAGGCCCCACTGTATAACTGGTGTCTGCATAAAAAGAGGAAATGTGGACACAGAGGGAAGATGCTGTGAAAACACAGGGAAAAGACACCATCCACAAGCCGTGGAGAGTCCGGGAACAGATCCTCCTCTCACGGCTTCAGAAGGAAACATCTCATACTTTTAGCCTCCAGACAATAAATTTATGTTTTTTAAGCCACCCAGAGTATGATACTTTGTTATGGCAACCCTAGAAAACGAATACAGTTGGTAAAAATATAAATGAGTACAATCATTCTGCTCAGCATTCCATTTCTACGAATTTAGCCTGCAGATAAATGCCCACCGCAGATGTCTGTTCTTGAATAAGACAAAGGCAGTACATGTCCTCATGGGTCTTCTATTTAAGTGAGAAGAAACCAGCAATACACTAATGCAAGAAAACAGGTAATTTCAGATAGTGATACCTGCTCTAAAGAAAACCAAACAGGTTGCTGTGATAGATAAGGGCTACTTTACGCAGGGTAGTTGCAGAGAATTACTAGACGAATGGCATTTTAAGCTGCGATCTGAAGAGAAAATCTGCAATTTCTAATTTCTTTAAAACATCAATATATCAGTATTTTTTTAAAATTGATTTCATCATGCCTTCCAAAGTCAACTATCAGGCGAACATCTGGGCCCTGAAGGAGGAGGGCTGTACTCATGTCATAGTGACCACAGCTTGCGGTTCCTTGAGGGAGGAGATACAGCCCGGCGATATCGTCATTATTGACCAGTTCATCGACAGGTATGCCATCCTCTACGCCGCTGTAGGCCCCTGGAAGACCATTCCCAGCTCAAATGGACAGTGTGCGGGAACTTGGGGGGAGGGGGAGGAAGACTTTTGTTGTATTTTAAATATATTTTATTGATTTCTGAGAGGAAGGGAGAGGGAAAGAGAGAGAGAAACATTAATGATGAGAGAGAATCATTGATTGGCTGCCTCCTGCATGCCCCCTACTGTGGACAGAGCTCGCAAACCTGGCACGTGCCCTTGACTGGAATCAAACCCGGGACCCTTCAGATGCTCTATCCACTGAGCCAAACCAGCTAGGGCTAGAAGGGTTCTCTTTTGAAAGCCGCTGGCCAAAACCAGGTAAATAAAAAGCAGGACCTCTTCCTCTAAGCCAGCCCCATCCCCTTTCTCACTGGAGAAAATATTGGTCTTTGTCCACAACAGGGGAGAGACCTTTGGGCCTCACTCTCTTGTAATCCTCTTGTTGTTCACATACCCATTCTCCCACCATGCAATTTCTTACCCTTCTCTCACCTTTAGTTCAAACACAGGTGTATCAATTACTTCTGCACCATGGCGTTTGAAGCAGCTGATGATTATATCAAACACCTTCTCCCGAACTGCCATCTGCCGGGGATTGTAGTCTCTTGTGCCCTTGGCGTCAAAATCAGCCGAGGAATCAGGATGGGATTAAAAAAAAAAAAGAACAATAAGATCTATAAATATAAAAGCATGACCTCAGCGATGACAAATGCAAATTTCAATTTTCCTACAGGCCACCGAGTTGTAAAACAAGTACAACAATTCCCTATTAACCACCACACCTATTTGCTATCACCCTTCCAAGTTCCATTTCCTTTTAAGCTTGGTTCTTTTTCCTAGGATTCTTAGGACTCTATTCTTTGAGTTTTCCTAAAAACTCTATTCCTGGGATAACATATTTCCTGCCTAGTAGAAAGCACCTACCTGCTAACAGGCATGTGGCCAACGCAAACTGGCTTAACTAGCTGAACTCCATATTTTACAAGTAACATCCTTTCCCAACATAACTTAAAACAATCCTAATGAATATTATTTGTTCTCTAATTTGCTTCTTTTTAAAAAAATGTTTTTATTGATTTCAGAGAGAAGGGAGGAGAGGTAAAAACATCAATGATGAGAGACAATCATTGATCAATTGATCAGCTGCCTCCTGCACACCCACTGTCCTCCTCTCCACTCTCTACAAAAATCAATGGAAAAAATATCCTTGGGTGAGGATTAAAAAAAAAAAAAAAAGGAAAATTTTATATTTTACTACAATTTAAAAAATATTTATTACTCTATTTTTTACTTTGAATGAATCTTTATCCATGCATGATTTTATGACAGCACACACTGGTTATTGGAAAATATTGGTTCATTGATACTGGTTATACAGATCTTCCAAATATTGGTATACTCACTTCATCTACACTAATCTACACTAATAAAAGAGAAACATGCAAATCGGTGTCACTCTGCTACACCCCCCAGCCAATCAGAGTGACTATGCAAATTAACCCAACAAAGATGGCGGTTAATTTGCATACGCAGGCGAGGAGTGAAGACTGAAGACTGAAGAGGCTTGACTTCTCCACTGTGGCCAGACCAAAGGCCTGGGTCCCGGGTGCCAGAGGAAAGCCGGTGCCAGCAGCCAGGGGAAGGAAAGCCTATTGCGCAAATCTTTGTGCAACAGGCTTCTAGTTATATGATATCAGAAAACCAGATTTGTTAATATTACCATAGATCTTAGCAGGAAGGTCTTTAAGTATTGGGAAGCTGTCAAGCTCAAGGTGGAAGATAGAACTTTTCTAAAATCCTAACTTTCACATGATCACTTAAATTTTATCACTGGCAACAAATATTGTGAAATATTTTCCTTGAAGTGACAAGGCTCACTTGGTTCATTTTTCTGAAAATGTCTTCTAAATACCCTCAATCTTTAAAGTAATAGTTTATGTTTCAGTTTTTCTTTCAAATAAAAATGGTGTCCTGTGAAAAAAGTAGCTAGTTCAGTTTACAACTCACCTAATGGCACAAGTGTTTTTTGTTTTGGAATGCGGTGGAAGTGCTTTATGTGGACTTCCCATTTCATCACACAGAATATTTTAAAATGTACTCAAGCCCTGTGTTTCAGTGGTTAGAGCACCGGCCCACACACCGAAAGGTCACGGGTTCAATTCCCAGGAAAGGGCACGTACTGGATTGCAGGTTGGATACCCAGCCCCAGTTGGAGTGTGTGCAGGAGGCAACTAATCGATGTGTCTCTCTCACATTGTTTTTTTTCCCTTTCTTTCTGTCTCCCCCTCTCCCCCAATTCCACTCGCTAAAAATCAATGGGAAAAATATTCTCGATGAGGATTAACAAAACAAAAAAAGTGTACTCAAGGGTTGAGATTCAAAAGAATTAATAATTTTTACTGTTTTGTGAAGGATGTTAAGTGAAACCGATTTTTTTTTTGCTGTGAGTGTATTAAAGTAAAAAACAAAATGACTCGCCCTAACCGGTTTGGCTCAGTGGATAGAGCGTTGGCCTGTGAACTCAAGGGTCCCAGGTTCGATTCCGGTCAAGGGCATGTACCTTGGTTGCGGGCACATACCCAGTAGTGAGTGTGCAGGAGGCAGCTGATTGGTGTTTCTCTCTCATCGGTGTTTCTAACTCTCTATTCCTCTCTCTTCCTCTCTGTAAAAAAGTCAATAAAATTTATTAAAAAACAAACAAAAAAAAACCCCAAAATGACTTAGTACAATTTAGTGCCAGTATTGTGATTTGTACTAAGACACCACGAGCAGTTCTACTCACCAGTGCTTTTGCACCTTCATTGCAAATGAAGTAAAAAATGGCAAATAACATTATGAAAATAATTTTGACCAGAAAGAGCCCTTGCATCATCAATCCTACTGGGGATTAAGTAGCAACTCGGGCATGTTTTGTGACCGGGAATTGAACCAGCAACCTCTTGGTCCCTGGGTCCACACTCAGCCGCTGAGCCACACGAGCTGGGCTCCTTCCCTTTTTAAAAATATGTCATTTATTTGTTGAGGAAACTGAGTCCTTTTGTCCTAAGGAATTGTTCACATTCTAGATTTAGTTACCAATATACTCAATGTGTCATTTAACATATTCGACCATCTCCCATATTTCCTGTAAACTGGTAGTTAGGTCTGAAGACCTGATTAGATTCAGGTTCAATTTTTCTTGGCAAGAAAACTTCATAGGTGGTGCTGTGTACTTCGTATTGCATCACATAAGGAGGATGTCTCACTGTCCTACTTTTAGTGATGTTAGGATTAATCATTGCGTTTAAGTGAGGCCAGTTTGATCTTTCATAAATTCCCCATTTATCTTTTCACCTAATAGTTTGAATAACTACTGATGACCACTGCCTTGAGATTTTACACTGTCTCCTTAACCTTTGAAATGAGGAATAGCTCAATGAATTTAGGAATGCAAAGAATTAACCTTACAAGGGGACACCTCAACATAAGGAAGACAGATCATCTCCCTTCTCCTTTGGAGTTCAATTTCACATACATTCATTGAAGACCTATTTAGTTCCACGTGACCTTGTCTCAGCCTCTCATTGTAGATAAACTATGTGAATAACTAAAAGTTAGCAATAAATGCAACAACAGAGATATATGTAAAGTGCAAGGGAACCCAGATGAAGGGGTAAATAGTTCTCTTTATAGAAGTTACAGAAAGTGGCATCTGAACTGAAATCCTGGAAGCTGAGCTAGGAACCTCCAATCTCATCCGACTCTCCTCTAGTTTGGGTCTAGTCATACAGGTCTCTTCCAGTATTGGAAACTACCAAGGTTCTTTCTTGCTTCAGGGTTTCCATACGCTCCCTGGATCTATTTTCCTCATACTCTTCCCTTGGGTATCTCCCACTCATCTGTTAGGTCAGTTAGGATATCACTTCAGTGAAGCTTTCTCAGTCTCCCCAGTTCTCCCATATTTTTCTTAGAGCATCCTTATTATTTCTTTATGTCATTTATCACAATGTGTAATGACATTCCCATGTGTGGGATTATCTGCACTAACTCTGTTTCCTTCACTAGAATGTAAGCTCCATAAGGGCAAGCTATATTGTTCACCATGCTATACCCATTGGTTTGTACAGCGCTTGGCACATAGTTAACACTCAAGTATTTACTGAATGAAAGAAGGAGTAGCAGTAACAGACAGACTCCCCTTAGCACCTGGCTGGCTTAGTTTCTGGCATCACTTTGCCATCCCAGGATGACTCAGGTAGAGTCCAATCCAGCCTGGCACCAGCATTTCAGATAATTCTCAGTGACCTGGTTCAGAGAATCCGGCATATACGTCCGTGTGAGTGTAATTAGGGACCCTCTCACAGGCTCCCTAAAGGAATGACACTTACCTTGGGGGTTTTGAGCACAAACTTGTGTTTCCCTTCATCAGGGCCCAGCTGTGCCTTCAGTTTCAGTAATTTTGCCACTTCCTCCTCGATCTGTGGAGAAAAAGTAGGCGCTGGGCTGTCACATCTGCAGCTCACCTCCCCCCTCAACCATTCATTCAATATCCCTCCATCAGGATCTGGAACAGATCTCTCCCCAGCCTAGCTTTGCTTCTCTCGAGTCCTACCCGGCTACCTCACCACCTAGCTCGTCCTCCTCCCTACCAGCTGGAACCCTTCCTCCTCACATCCCAGTCCTCTACAGACAACCCCCTCTACCTCCTCCCCGGCCTTGCTTTGGCCCCGCCCCTGCCGCCCGGGTCGCACCTGCTCAGCGCTGGCCTTCTGCTGTTTCAGTTCCCGCACATGCTCTCCCTGAAGTCGCACTAGTTCCTCCAGCGCCGCACGTTCTGCCATCCTGGCTGCAAGCTGGAGAGAACTGATGTCTAGGCGGGGTGGCAGCGGGCACCGCTTCAGCTCGGAGGACTTCCGGCTATCGAGTCGCTGGCCCCCAAGCCTAGAGAGCCTCCGCCGAGCGCAACACCACTTCCGACTCCGACAGGAAATGCCGAAGCGGAGAGGGAACCTGAGAGGACGGGACCCCGGTTGCAGGATTTGGCGTCGCTCACCTCCTTCCTTGGAGCTCGGGCATTGCCTCTGCAACGCTGTGCACGCTTCTTGGGGTCCGACCGGCTTCGTTCTCAGGTCTTTTGCCCGCTGTCCCGGCCTCCCGCCGCGCGATGCCCCAGCTCGGGCTCCTGCACCGGAGGGCTTGGGCTGCGCTGCTCGGCCAGCTCCTGCGGCCTCCCCGGGTTGTGTGCCTCGGGGCGGCCCGTTCTCATAGCCAGGTGAGCCAGTCTGAGCAGCTCCTGTCTGTCGGGATAGGCTCTGCGGGTCTGAAAGCTTGAGCTCGCGGCCGGAGCTCCAGGAGGAATGCCATTGGTTTGTTACTGCGTGCCCACCATGTCCTGAGTTAAGTGTTGTAGATGCTTTGTCATTTAAGTCCATAGCCATCCTGAGAGGTTGGGGTTATTATTTCCATTTACAGTTGCGGAGTCAGAGACTGCACGGTCAAATGGTTTATCCGCGCATATAGGAAGGGAGCATTTTCATTTAGGTTCACTATTCCTTATTTGAGCCTATTGGAGTCAAACACATTAAAATTCCTTAAGCAAAAGATATGATTATTTCCACTGAGGTAATTAATGACCATAAGTAGATAGTTCACATTAGAATTTACCTCAAAATGAGTCACAAACAAACAACCTACATAATTTAAGGTTTTTAGACATTTTTGGATTTGGGGATTGCAGGTTGTGGACTTGAACTGCCTACCCTTGGAGGAGAGAGCCACCAAAGTATAGAACTACCACACCCGCTATATTTCTGAAGGGCATACAGCCTGCTGGTAATAAACAAAGTCACTGATTCTGTTTTACGTTAGGAAAGACTCTGTTGTCTTTATAGCAGATGCTTTGTGCTATCATGAACAGGGCTTAGATCTTTGTTACTAATTTTCAGTCATAGCTGAACCGTGACCTCCTGGTTCATAGATCTACGCTCAACCACTGAACCATGCTGACAGGACACCATTGCTACATTATTAAAAATTCTTATTTTCACTCTTTGAATGGGAACTGAGAACTGGAAAAGATATACTAATCCCTACTTCTGGATGGTTGTGGTGGTTTGTTCTTTACCTTCATTGTTCTTGGGTACTTACTTAAACTATTTTCAGACAGTTTGTATGGTAAAGACCCGACCTCATGTGTATTACATATATATCGTAGATACAACATGGGTTTTTGGAGGGGGGCTGGGATTGGAGTAGATAAAATAGTGTTCGGGCTTCTTGTTACTCAGGACCAAAGCTCTGCAGGTTGGTGGTCCACGGGGCCAGCAATGTCACTGGGCTGGCCAGTCTTGAGAGGTGCCGCGTCTCACATTCCTTCTTCTGCATATTTTTATTGATTTCAGAGAGGAAGAGAGAGGGAGAGAGAGATAGAAACATGAATGATGAGAGAGAATCATTGATAGGCTACCTCTGCACACCCCACACTGGGGGTCTAGGCCGAAACCCAGGCATATGCCCCGACTAGGAAATGAACCGTGACCTCCTGGTTCATAGATCTACGCTAAACCACTGAACCATGCTGGCAGGACACCATTGCTACATTATTAAAAATTCTTATTTTCACTCTTTGAATGGGAACTGAGACCTGGAAAAAATATACTAATCCCTAACCCTGGATGGTTGTGGTGGGTTGTTCTTTACCTTCATTGTTCTTGAGTACTTACTTAAACTATTTTCAGACAGTTTGTATGGTAAAGACCCGACCTCATGTGTATTACATATATATTGCAGATACAACATGGGTTTTTGGAGGGGGGCTGGGATTGGAGTAGATAAAATAGTGTTCAGGCTTCTTGTTACTCAGAACCAAAGCTCTTTGCAGGTTGGTGGTCCACGGGGCCAGCAATGTCACTGGGCTGGCTAGTCTTGAGAGGTGCCGCGTCTCACATTCCTTCTTCTGCCAGGTTGCAGAGGCAGTGCTAGCATCCCAACTGAAACCACATCAAGAGAAGTCAAATTTTATTCTCAAGACCCCAAAGGTAACTCGCTTTGCCCCACTTTGTCCCATTAAAGAGCCTTGGAGGGCTGCCCTCTGTTCTGCTCGTCTTTTCCTGACTCCTTTAAAAATCCTTTTAAGACTAATTAAAAGAAAAAAAAATCTATTCTTGAGGTACTGGTACTTAGAGTTATCTGAACTCAAAGAGATTTCAACTCCATGCCTTAGATCAGTGATGTGACACGCGTGTCAGAGGTGACACGTGAACTCATTTTTTTGGTTGATTTTTCTTTGTTAAATGGCATTTAAATATATAAAATAAATATCAAAAATATAAGTCTTTGTTTTACTATGGTTGCAAATATCAAAAAATTTCTACATGTGACACGGCACCAGAGTTAAGTTAGGGTTTTTCAAAATGCTGACACGCCGAGCTCAAAAGGTTCGCCATCACTGCCTTAGATTATAGATGTAGTTTAACTCTTTGTCTTAAATGGACTTATTTTCTGTCTTTGTTTTCACTATGGCTACTTTTGGTTTCTAGGGCACCAGAGATTTTAGTCCCCAGCAGATGGCTGTGAGGGAGAAAATACTTGATATAATTGTTAGCTGCTTTAAACGTCATGGAGCAAAAGGGTTGGATACCCCAGCATTTGAGCTAAAGGTAAGTGGAGAAAAAAGTACCAGAACTCCGTTTTTTTCACTTGCCTTTGGTTTCTCAAAGGGCTTCTAGCCTCCGTTCTGGAGTCCTCCTTTGAAGTATGGTGCTTTCTGCTTGACCCCTGCAGGAGATGCTCACTGAGAAGTATGGAGAGGACTCTGGGCTCATCTATGATCTGAAGGATCAGGGTGGAGAGCTATTGTCCCTGCGCTATGACCTTACTGTATCCTTCTGAGTGCTGGAGCCTGACTTACCGCTTTCCAAACCCAGAGGGATGTCTGACAAAAGGGACAAGAATGACTCTGGGACCCTAAAGGTCCGTTGGCAACAGGGTTTACTTCCAGTTTCAACCAGAAAGCCGTTCTGCCAGTAGAGCCTGGCCTGGAGCACTATCATTTAACTTTAATGTGTATCAGAATCCCTTGGGGAAACCTGTAGAAACACAGGTTTCTGGCCCCCAGGCCCACACATTCCTAATTCTGTAGCTGGTGCAGGGTTCAGCAGTCAGCATTTCTAACAGGCATCTGGGTAATGAAAATGCAGATGGTCCTTGATCTACACTTTAATAAATATTGACATAGAAATTATAGGCAAATTGAGGTTCTGAAGCTTGCTTATTTTGAGATGGTTAAGAATTGATCTGAATGGGAGGAAATGACCCAGACTTGAAGTTCTTGTGTCATTTTCTATCTGTGCTTCCCACCTAACTTGTAGTTTTGTTAGGTGGGATTCCTTCATTTGACACTATTCAATATATAAGGGTGGGAAAAAGTAGGTTTATAGTTACAGTACAAATAAATAATAATTAATAAATAATAATATAAGAGCCCAGCTGGTGTGACTCAGAGGTTGAGTGTCGACCTATGAACCAGGAGGTCATGGTTCAATTCCTGGTCAGGGCACATGCCCAGGTTGCAGGCTTGGTCTCCAGTAGGGGACATGCAGGAGGCAGCCAATCAATGATTCTCTCTCATCATTGATGTTTTTCTCTCTCCCTCTCCCTTCCTCTCTGAAAATATATATTTTAAAAAAACATCAAAAGATGAAAAATCAAATACAAGAGTAAACTATTTCATGTACTCACAACTGTAAACCTATTTTTGCTCACCCTGTATATTGAATGCCAAGTACTGCTAAGTCTTGGGCATAGTGGGAAACAAGACAGACAAGGTGATTGTTCTGTGGATGGGATTCAATTGATAAAGGCCCAATCTTCCCTGATGTCTTTACACTGAGCCTAAGCTTTGGATGCAGTGTCCTTTCTCCTTAACCCATTTATGTGAGGTTCCTTTTGCGCGTTATATGGCCATGAATAAACTGAAGAAGATGAAACGCTACCATGTTGGAAAGGTGTGGCGGCGGGAGAGCCCAACCATAGTCCAAGGCCGCTACAGGGAATTCTGCCAGTGTGTAAGTGACCTGAAGGAGGCAGCATGGTTTGATAGTTCTGGGGGCCAGAACCAGGGAACTGGCTGCTGAGTGGAGACTTTTTTTTCCCTTGTCTTCTTTTTTGCTGTAGGATTTTGACATTGCTGGTGATTTTGACCCCATGATCCCTGATGCAGAGTGTTTGAAGATAATCTGTGAAATCCTAACTGGATTGCAGCTGGGGGACTTTCTCATTAAGGTGAGGTCAGGGCTGGGGACGTAGGGGAAAAGTCTGGATTTGGCCTGATGCTGTCTTAAAACATAGGTGACCCAGACTTTAAGCCTGCAGCTCTAGGACGTTCTAAGTTCAGCTGTTGCATTTTATATATATACACTAGAGGCCTGGTGCATGAAATTCGTGCAAGAGTAGGCCTTCCTTCCCATGGCTTCTGGCTCCAGTTTCCCTCTGGCACCTGGGACCCGGGCTTCCCTCACAGCCCCAGCTTCATCCGGAAGGTCGCCTGGGAGGATGTCCGGAAGGATGTCCAGTCTAATTAGCATTATTACACTTTTATTATTATAGATCTAAATGTTCATCCTGTGAACTTTTCCTTTCTATCTCTTATGACTCAGGAGAGTAGGGACTGTCATTGTTTTGAGAGAAAGGACATTGACAAGGCACTTGGGTTACTTCCATTGAGTTCACAGGTCAACGACCGGCGGATTTTGGATGGGATGTTTGCCATCTGTGGTGTTCCAGAAAGCAAGTTCCGTGCCATCTGCTCCTCCATAGACAAACTGGACAAGGTAAGAAAGAAGACATGTTTCAGTAGATCCTATCAGAGTTTCTGCCCTGCCCTTAAATCTATACCCTTAGAGGAAAAATAAGGAAATAGTGCCGGGAA